ATATTAAACACATACAAAAAGCAGATTAAATATGTCAGCCACATTTTGAAAAAGAATATGAAACTTCAATTCAACCTGAATCTTTATCGCTTATTTTATACAGACTAGAAATGTTCGCGGCTATCGAGATAACCGTCTACTACGATTATCAGTCTTCTTAGGTCATTTTCTTACGATGGTAACACGAAGTTATTTTCTTGGATTTAGCTCTCAAAAGCTTCTCGAAGTTCTATGAATCGAAACCATATTTACTTTACGAATAATAATTTGGAATGTTGCTGTTGAATGTGGGACGATATCTAGGAATCTATGTTAGAGCATAGCGGTTGACGAACTCCGTATTTTTGAATGTATTTATAAAGAATCAAGGAAATATGCAAGTAGAAGAAACATAGGCTCTGGTTACGAGATTGGTCTATAAGACACACGCCTTGAGCGTGCGAACTATGGTAGCATGGGTGGCGTTCGCGGCTAACGCGTCGTCTTTCACCGCTGTGAGTCCAACGGGTCGGGTCGCTGGTTTGAGCCCTGCGGTCGCCACATGTGAATTGAGTTTGTTTGATGTGTTGTTCTCTCCTATGCTACGAGGGTTTTCTCCGGTTTCCTCCCTTCGTAAAAATCAACATGTGAGTTCAGTGTTATGCGCATAGAATATTAAATGTAGTGGTAGTGCGTGTGAGCGAAAAGTGTCCCCAATTAGTGCGAAAAAGCGCTAGAACGACTAGACACTTAAATAAAAGTGATTTATTTATTTTATTTTTTATTTTTTTATCGTTTCACCTGTTAATGACGCCATGCTTTTGTCGACGCTGCAGGAAACGGGGAACACCCTTCAAAATCAAAGTCCAAGCGTAGACCGAAGACCATGAAGATGTAAGAAGCTTTGGCTGTCGTTTGGTCAACATTCTTTTTGTCTTTTATTAGCTAGTGACAACTCAAGGTAAGTTTGGGAAAACTCACAGATATATTTATTAGTTCCTGCTTAGTTTTGAGCGTTCGAGAAACTTTCCGTTTGAGAATATATGACTTTAACGCTGAATCTTCACGAGGGAATCAAGTTTGACGAAATATGTACGTTCTGGATAATATTTATTGGGTTTTTGCAGGGTTCATTGTGTTGTTACTGTGTTAATGTTATACTGTTATACGAGTAAAAAGTTTATCAAATTGAGCTGATCCTCGCAGTATATCAAGTAACTTGAATATGCAGCTGCAAATGCAGAAAACTGAAGTTGTGGCAGTAAATAGTTAGTAGTGAGAGAGAGGGTAAGGATTTGTGTAGCTTCTCTGGAACTTTACTATTAACAAACAACATTTGATTTATTGGAAAGTTTAGGTTAAAGTAGAAATGAATATGTTATTTCTGGTGACGCGAAAAAAAGTTGGAAAACGTTTTTATTGATTCCGACTGACATGAAGTGAAAGGACGCCGAAGTTTGTTTATATCAACGAGTACCACCAAGATAATTTCCCTTCATTTTACTTTTAGATAACCTGAAATATCAAAACATGTAAAGTGAGACCTCTCTTAATAATATTAGTTCTTAGGCTTTGATATTAGAAAAATTTAAATTTCTGTAGAAAAATATGAATGAATTAAAAATACATATATATATTTATAATGAAGTAGAGAGAATAAGAGAAAAATATCAAGTGCCCTTTGATATTTTTCTCTTATTCTCTCTACTTCATTATATACACACCGAACGCATAATTTATTACTATATACATTTATAGTTAGATCCTATAAGACACAGATTGAGCATGCGCAAATCGCTTCAACTGTTTATAGCGTATTGTTTTTACGACGCACAATGGAAACGGGGAACCCCCGTCCAAATGAAAATCATAAGCAAAAATATAAAAAGCTTTAGCTCTCCTTTGGTCAACACTCCTTTTTTTTTTCCCTTTAGCTAGAAACAACTCAAGGTAATTTATATTTCTTATAATCTTGCTTATTTAGTTCAAAAAAGCTTGCTATTTGTCGTAATACTTGAACTAAGTCATCCTTGCAAAGGGCATTGCGTTCTGGAAGATATATGTATTAGGCATTTGGGTTCATTGTGTGGTAAACGCGCATCTCTGAGGAAAAGATACTACGGCTTATATTGCTCTATTCCTTCGCGACCAGTCAATTTTTATCTACCCGAGTCCAGCTTCAGATATTAAACACATAGAAAAAGCAGATTAAATATGTCAGCCACATTTTGAAAAAGAATATGAAACTTCAATTCAACCTGAATCTTTATCGCTTATTTTGTACAGACTAGAAATTTTTGCGGCTATCGAATTAACAGCGGTCTGCTACCAATGAAGAGTATCTCAACTCACACAAATTCAATGCTTTATTTAAATCTCTTAAGTAGTTTTATGTACTGAATGAAAATTGCAAAGTGAAAAACATCATATAAGACTTAATTAATATTAAAGTTATCATCTTTATGATGATAACAGTTTTAGAATAAAAATTATCAGTTACTTCATTTTTAGATTGCTCTGTTTTTCACTGTAAACTTCCATCTTGGTATTCGTTTCTAAAGAGTTGTAGCTAATCTGCATTTTACTGGAATTTTAACAAACATTCGAGCTGTGTCTCCGAGGTTCACGCTGATTTTTTTTTTTTTTTTTTTTTTTTTTTTTTTTTTGTACTGCCGTCGGTCAAAACTAATCAGTCGGTACCTTTCCTACTTTTGACTGATATTAATTGTTTTACCTTATCTCTTATTCGACGAAAAAACGACATGATGCAATAAATAAACGACAAGAGGCGACAGTCTGGCCTATGCTCAAGCAGATATACTGGCATTATTAGTAGAGTGACTTATTGAAACCTTGAATAAAAATAAATATAAAAATGAATTAAAAAAATATACATTCGCGTTTATCCTGTTATGTCTATAAGACACAGATTGAGCATGCGCATATCTTTTCACCTGTTAATGGTTTTTGCGACGCAGCAGGGGAACAGGGAACCCCCTTCAAAATAAAAGTTACGAAAGATATATATATTAAGAAGCTTTAGCTCTCGCTTAGTCAACATTTATGGGGCGCCGATCCAGTCAATATTCTCATTATTTATTTCATTGCTTATTGTGTTTTTATTTTGATGTTTGAATTTACTTTTATGGTAATTGTATTTAATTTTTATCAAGACTGAAGTTCTTTTTGAAGCAGAAAAATTTACTTTTATGGTCATTTGTTTAATCTTTTTTTGGCAATCGAATTAAGATATTCTAATGCAGGATTTTTTTATTCTAATCTCATTTATTTATGGTCTTTTGATTTTTAATATGCTAATTATGATGCATTGCGAGCCTCGATTTGACCGAGCGAGAGACTGGTGATTTAGCAAGTTAACTCTATTAACTATGGTTACGCACAATTTTGATGTGGCTCAAACGAATGTGTGCAAAGACAGGATGCAAAAGGCGGATTGTGAAATATCTATTGTCATGTTAATTTCATATTATATTTCCAGCGCTAAGAATAATCTCTCTTTTTCAAGTTTTATATTTAACAAATAAAACAGCTTTTTCCGAGCTCCATTCAGTAATAAAGCACGCGTGAGGCGACTTAAAGTGTTTATGAAACCAAATGTTCGACCTCCGT